TTTTTTTTTTTTTTTTTTTTTTTTTTTTTTTTTTTTAACAGTAACGCCACTCTGCTTCTGTCTCGGAAAAAGAACAAGCACCCGGCCGACACCTGTATAAATAACACTGCGCAAAGGCAGCCTGGCTTGGATACATACAGAGTATCATCTGTCCGCGGGGCTCCCAGAACACGCAAGTATCACAATATCAGGATGCTCCAAATAGGAAGGGAAGCGGGGAACTTTCAGTAGCTGAGTACATTATACAGGCACATGAAACAAAATAGAATTTTCTTTATTTTTGTAATTGACACCTCACAATTTTTTTCTGGTACAAAAATGGATCAAACTGTAACATGCAGGAGAGCTACACAGAACATAGTACGATTATATCTCCTGCAGCAGCTTCTTTCCTAATCCTCTTCCAAATCCTCACATACAAAGATAAATTCTTGCAATCCCGACATCAGGATTATTCCTGAGGTAAAACATAAGCTATAATCTTCGTGAAGCTGGCAGCCTCTCAGAGTTACGGCTGAGTGTCTGAGCATATCCATATTGCAGGGACCCACTGGGGCTCATCCTGTGCACGATGGACTGCTGATAACAGCTGTGCAGATGCTTCTTGTAAATCATCATTCACAATCACTTGATCAAAGAACTGACCAAACTGGGCTTCCATTTTCTTAGCTGACTCTTCCATCTCCTGTAAATCTTCTTCCTGCAAGAGACCGACCAAATCTATCACGTTTGAGCGTTGGGCACAGAACCACGTCTGCAGGGCATCTGCAGAACCCCTTGGGCTATAATAAACAAGAGGCGAATAGACAGCGCAGTGTAAAGTATTTCCATTTACAATCGCTATCAGCAGTGGAGTATGCATGCTACAATCAGTTCTGAGCTTCTGAACACAGCTGACTGCCACATCTTTCCCAGTGAAAGATTTCACCTCTCAGTATGCTCCAGTATATTTTTCATTTGCTCCCAAAGATTACTTTACTGACAAGTGCCAGCAGAGGATGTTATGCACTGCAGGCAAATTCGGTTTGCAACAGTTGTGCTCTTACTCTGCATTTTAGTTTATCATCAGATTTCCAACATTCACATCTCTGTCTTAACAGTTATGATTCATTTCCATATAAAGTTATGGACTTAGGCCTCTGAAATTATAAGGCGCTAAACTTGATCATGATTTTTATGGAAGCCATGGTGACAAATGCACTAGACTCATTCTGAATGCAGCACAGAGATTTCCTATATGCAGAACTTGTTTGTTTACAGAATTCACTATAGAATTGCCATTAATATTATCATTAAGCAATGATAATCTATATGAAATATGAGTATATTTCTAATGAAATAATCTATATTAAGTACTTATAACTATAAGAAAAAATTGATTAAACCATTGAATGGAACACATTCCATATATTTCAATGCAAACAAATACATGTGCTGACTTAAATCTTGTCACAAGGCAGTTTAATTAAAGCAGACATTTACACAACAGCCTCTCTTTTAAAGACATTTTGGAGACAACGCCTCAGTCCCCTAGGTATGAATTATAACCCTTCCACTCCAATTCTGGAAGAAAAAACAACCAAAACACACACAGATCTAGTCATGAAGACACAATAATCTTTTAAAGTGTTAACATAGTAAAAGAATGCATTATGTTCTAATGACAAATTCCCAGTGTAATCAGCTGTCGTCTTCCACCTCCAAATCTCACCTTGAATTTCATGTTCACATAATAATCTGTAATGATCCTTGCATTTTTACGAGACTGCCTCATGCAGTTTATGCTGGATGGCTTGATGAATATAATGTAGGGCTTTAATTCATGAGTCCGGGCTACTTGAATGCCCTGCAAGTTAAGAGTAAAAAGAAGTTAAATTAAAGCATTTCAAGCATAATCACTCCCATTTTATTCCCATTAAAAAAAGCAAATTGTTTACAAAGTACTGTTATCTCCAGACCTAGCAGTAATCTTATTCAAGAACACCTGCTTTAACATGACCTCAGTAATAATCTCTGGTCCAGACATTATTAAGCACCTGCGCCACACTGATCATTTAATTCTGCATGGTAACCTTATTAGGAGAGGCTTTCAACTCCAGAGAATGACTGAACATTGTCATTAACAGGTCTCTACCATCAACCATCACTGTAGTATTTTTTTTTTCTACTAAGACCAGATTCAAAGAATACTCTATTATTAATAAGCATCATAAGCTAAAGTGAAAATAAGACAAGTCAGAGCAATTAATGCTATTCCAATAGCTCAAGAATGTACAGAGTTTTTTTTTTTTTTTTCCTCCTTCCAGGAGATGCCAATTGCAGGTTCCCTGCTCTTTTGCAACTCACCTGTGGTTCTAAATCTATTATACAGATCTTCCCTTCATCAAGGACTGTTCGCACTGCATCGACACTGGTACCATACAGGTAACCTTTGTACTCCCCATATTCTAGCATTCTGCAATAGCAGTGAGGGAGGAGAAAGAAAAATGAAAGAGCACTTGAGTCTCAAAAGGTTCCATTTACAGGTGAAATCTGCAAGTGTAATCTCTGTGATCAAGACTGAATGATGATAAAACATAACAAACATTATTGAAGAACCTCCACCTTTGCTCTCCCCCACTACAATGAGCATAACAGGCAGGACTATTAGAGCCAATCTGGACATCCCCAAAACATGCATTTTTACCCATCTTGCTGTGACAAATTGTGTGTTCAGAGGTTGCAATTCTGGTCAATCTCCAGACAACTATAAGGAAACTTCAATTATATTTATTTACAGTGATAAAACACTTGTCATTTATATAGTACTAATAATTTAATAATCAGAAGATCTCAAAACACTTTGTACAGCTCAAGGAGTGTTGCTTCTGCTGCTGAGCTGATCTGTTTTAGTGGAGGAATTACTGAAGTGTAGAAGTGAGCAGACATTTGCAAGTTACAGCTCAGGTGCCTACATGGAGATGTCATCACTCCAGAGGTCCCACAGTGAAGATGTGCATATGGCATAGGTCTGGCTCACTGTTCAATTTTAGAAAACAGTCCAGTTTTAAGAAAGGTTAAACTCACAACTCAAAATATCACATCAGATGAGCTCAGGACTTGGAGATCACACTTTATCTTAGAAAGACTCTGAGATTAATTTTAGAGGACCTTGTTTGTCACTGCACAAGCACAACTTTTGAAGCTATAGCCTCAAATAATTTGACAAAAAATTTACATCAAACATATATAGCAACTATGAGGAGAGGAGACCAAACCCGAGGCCTAACTACAAAGCTTTTTTCCCATGTTAAGTGGCAAGAATGGAATTTGTCACTGCTAATTACCTGTGGGTGTACACCATGTTTTCAAAAGTTTCCTTTGATACATAGTGATATTCACGACCATTCATTTCATAGCTTTTCTGAACACGCGTGGTGTCTGGAGAGGAACAAAACCAACAAATTAACAAAAAAATGTAACTGCAAATAAATATTTGTAAGTTTATAAGTGAAAAATGAGACATGAAGGAAGATAAATCAGTATTTTCATAAGTAATGAAATTAGTTGATTCCATTTGTTAGTCCAGAGCAAAAGCTTTGTCTACTCTAACGGTTGCCCAGGGGCGAGTCCTTGAAAATTAGCAGGCACGTCCATACTTCTTGGGACAGAAGAGAAGTGGTTTATTCCAAATACTTTTGACTCAAACCAACCAGGAAATGCTTTAGACCCGCTTGCACAACTGTTTCTTCCTCTCCTCTGAGGCAAATTTCATGTTCATTCTGAAACATCCCACAAATGTTTCCACACTTACACTTTCCCCATATTTGGGATCTTAAGCATAATGAAATGCCTAAAATTTCAGATTTCAACTTCAAACTCATACATTTCCCGTTTGGTTATCCAAATCACAAGTACCAAATAAGCTCAGGCAGAGACAACTTCTATGATTAAGCCAGAAATTAGGTTGCATAATTCTCAGTCAAGACAAGAAGGCTAATAAGGAAAGCTGCAAAGCCTAAGCATGAACTTCTATTGCCTTCATTCTCATATCTCATCACTTAAACACTACAAATTTATTCTTATAATATCCCTAAGAAGCATTCCTTTTTCAGAGCTGAGAAAAACAAACAACAGGATTAGACAAAACCATAAAGGTACATAAAGCTCAAGCTACAGCTCCTGAGACCCATAAGATAACTTTGGCTGATTTGCCAAAGTAAGGAGAAAGACAGTACTTTAAACTAAGCCTTATAAAAGCAAATGACACTAGCTTGCAATAGAGCTGAAAACCTTCTATACAGCAAAGCTGAATATCCAAGAGCAAGAGGGAGGACCCTGACATTTCCTAATCACTGCTTTGGGGAGAAGCAGGGGAAGGGA